TGTGACAGGCACCTGTGTTCCCAGCTACTTGGGAGGCTGAGGCAGGAGACTCGCTTGAGCCCAGGAGTTGGAGGTTGCTGTGAGCTGTGATGCCATAGTACTCTACCCAGGGGGATAGCTTGAGGCTCTATCTCAAAAAAAAAAAAGAAAGAAAGAAATGTGCCATCATAAAAACAAAACTGATCTTATGCTTCAGGATCTATTTTTGACAATGAGAAATAGAAAAGTATAAATGATATCAATGACCTTCAAAGACACAGGCTATATTCTGTCCAATATAAATAGCTGTAAAGAAAGAAAACCTTACAGCTGCTTCTTCCTATTTAACAAATAGTTTTGTGGATGAAAAGGAAGAGAAAGAGTTAAATAAAATTACTTGTTGAAAAATAATACACCACGATTTTTTTGTTTGTTTGTTTTTTCTGAGATAGAGTCTCACTCCGTTGCCCCAAAGTAGAGTGCCATAGCATCATAGCTCAAAACAACTTCAAATTCCTGGGCTCAAGCAATCCTCTTGCCTTAGCCTCCCAACAAGCTGGAACTACAGGTGCCCATAATCCCCGGCTAGTTTTTCTATTTTTAATAGAGATGGGATCTTGCTTTTGCTCAGGCTGGTCTCAAACTCTTGAACTTAAGCAATCCACCAACATGGGCCTCCCAGAGTGCTAGGATTACAGGCGTGAGCCACCGTGCCCGGGCCATCATATTGTTGATAAGAGTTGAAACTCATCAAACTTAAGGTTAACGTTTCTCTAAATACAAATTTCACCTAAAAAGAAAATAATTATTAGGCCAGGCATAGTACCTCACACCTATAATCCTAGTACTTTGGGAGGCCAAGCTGGGAGGATAGCCTAAGGCCAGGGATTCAAGACCAGCCTAGGCAGTAGCAAGACCCTATTTCTACAAAAAAAAATGTTTTAAACTTAGCTGGGCATGATGACAGATGCCCGGAGTGCCACCTAATTAGGAGTCAGAGACAGAAAGATCACTTAAACCCTGGGCGGTGCCTGTGGCTCAGTAGGTAGGACACAGGCCCCATATACCGAGGGTGGCAGGTTCAAACGCGGCCCGGCCAAACTGCAACAAAAAAACAGCTGGGCGTTGTGGTGGGCGCCTGTAGTCCCAGTTACTCTGGAGGCTGAGGCAAGAGAATTGCCTAAACCTAGGAGTTGGAGGTTGAAGTGAGCTGTGTGACACCATGGCACTCCACCAAGGGCGATAAAGTAAGACTATCTCTACAAAAAAAAAAGAAAGATCACTTAAACCCAGGAGTTTGAGGTTTCAGTGAGCTATGATGATACCACTGCACTCTAGCCCAATTAACACAGCAAGACCCCTATCTCAAAAAATAAAAGTCATTACTGAACTCTAGTGAATGATAAGAATCCCAAAGTGCTTGGGAGTTAAATATACTATTATCTGTGACTTACCTTGAAATGCGTCAGAAAAAATAAGAGGGAGTGATGGATAGACAGAGGAAAGGATATGTGATAAAGTAAATGGGACAAAACACTAATGCCAGAATCCAGATGGTAGGTTCACTAACTCATTTCAATTTTTCTGTATGACTGAAAATGTCACATAAAATGTTGAAAACATATAGGCATCATAAAGTTACAGGTTTACTTCTAATATATATAATTTAACCACCATTAAGACATCCTAAAGGCTGAAAACTTAGGAGGCCTTACATTTATGGAGAGGTACACATGCAGAGATGAGAAACAGCCAGCACTCACCTATATCCTGAGAGGTGAATGCCGTTATAATCTGGGGACTGGCCAGGGCCTCCAGCCTGTTTTTTAATGCTTCCAAGTGCACACATTTTTCTGAGTAGTCTGGTGTATCAACAAGCATCATTAAGCTGTTCTGCATACCTGTTAGCTTGGCAGAAATTACAGCTATGTCCTAGAAAAGATCAGAATACAGGATATTTGTTTTAAAAGACCCCTGCTACCTCAATTAGAAATGGATAAAATATGTGAGAAGGCAATTCATAAAATAAGAAAATGGCTCATAAACATATTATGTTCAACATTAATAGTACTGTACTCAAATAAATGCAAATTAAAATGAGAAAGTACCATTTTCTGGTGGTGCCTGTAGCTCAGTGGGTAGGGCACCAGCCACAAACACCAGAGGTGGCAGGTTTGAACCTGGACTTGGTCCATTAAACAACAATGACAACTGCAACAAAAAAGTAGCCAGGCATTGTGGCAGGCGCCTGTAGTCCCAGTTACTTGGGAAGCTGAGGCAAGAGAACTGCTTAAGCCCAAGAATTGGAGGTTGCTATGAGCTGTGATGCCATGGCACTCTATCCAGGGCAACAGCTCAAGACTGTCTCAAAAAAAAAAAATGTTTGTTGGGGAAATTAAAAAAAAAAAAATAGAAAGAAAGTACCATTTTCCTTCTAACAAAGTGGAAAAATTTTTTTAAATTATAATAGCAATTGTTGGTGAGAATGCAAAGAAAAAGGAGAATCCATCTGGTATCATAAATTTATAATGTCAATGGCTAGGTTGCGGTGGATCATGCCTGTAATACTAGCACTTTGGGAAGCCCAGGCGAGTGGATCACTTGAGCTCAGGAGTTTGAGACCAGCCTGAGCAAGAGACCCTGTCTCTACCAAAAATAGAAAAACTAGCCTGGTATTATAGTGGGTGCCTATAGTGTCAGCTACTTGGGAGGCTGAGGCAGAAAAATCACTTAAGCCCAAAAGTTTGAAGTTACTGTGAGCAATGATGACGCCATGGCACTCTACCAAGGGTGACAGTGTGAGACTCTGTATCAAAAATAATAACAATAGGGTGGTGCCTGTGGCTCAGTGGGTAGGGCGCTGGCCCCATATACTGACAGTGGCAGGTTCAAACCTGGCCCAGGCCAAACTGCAACAAAAAAATAGCCAGGTGTTGTGGTGAGCGCCTGTAGTCCCAGTTACTCAGAAGGCTGAGGCAAGAGAATTACCTAAGCCCAGGAGTTGGAGGATGCTATGAACTGTGATGCTATGGCACTCTACCAAGGGCAATAAAGTGAGACTCTGTTGACTCGGCACCTGTGGCTCAAGCAGCTAAGGCGCCAGCCACATACACCTGAGCTGGCGGGTTTGAATCCAGCCCAGGCCCACCAAACAATGATGGCTGCAACCAAAAAATAGCCGGGCGTTGTGGCGGGTGCCTGTGGTCCCAGCTACTTGGGAGGCGAAGGCAGGAGACTCGCTTGAGCCCAGGAGTTGGAAGTTGCTGTGAGCTATGATGCCACCTCACTTTACCCAGGGTGACAGCTTGAGGCTCTGTCTCAAAAAAAAAAAGTGAGACTCTGTCTCTAAAATAATAACAATAATAACAATAATAATAATAAATAATGTATATTATCTTTCTGGAAGGCAATTTAGCAATATGCTCCAAGAATCTTAAAAATATTCACATCTTTTAATGGATTATTGTCTCTTCTAGAATTTTTTCCTAAAGAAATAATCAGAGGGACACAGAAATATTAATGTATTATAATTAATTGCGATTTTAGTGTTATAATAACAAAAACCTATTAAAACTTCCATAATAACAAATAAAATATAAATTACAGGTCACTTATAATGGTATGTAGAATATTGTAAACCTACTAAAAATTATGTTTTTGGCCTGTAATCCTAACACTCTGGGAGGCCAAAGCAGGTAGATTGCTTGAGGTCCCGAGTTTGAGACCAGCCTGAGAAAAAGTAAGACCTGTCTCTACTAAAAATAGAAAAACTGAGGCAAAAGGATCACTTGAGCCCAAGAGTTGGAGGTTGCTGTGAGCTATGATGCCATAGCACTCTATCCATGGTGACAGCTTGAGACTCTGTGTCAAAAAAAATAAAATAAAATAAGACTTGGCACCTATAACTCAGTAATTAGGGCGCCGGCCACATACACTGGGGCTGGCAGGTTTGAACCTGGGCCAAGCCTGCTACACAATGACAACTACAACAAAAAGATAGCCAGGCATCGTGACCGGCACCTGTAGTCCCAGCTACTTCGGAGGCTGAGGGAAGAGAATCGCTTAAGCCTAAGGTTGCTGTGAGCTCTCTCTTAAAAAAAAAAAAATAATAATAATAATAAGTATATAAATAAATAAAATAAAAATTATGTTTTTGGGGCCATGCCTGTGTCTCAGTGGGTAGGGCACCGGCCCCATATACCGAGGGTGGTGGGTTTGAACCTGGCCCTGGCCAAACTACAACAACAACAAAAAAAAATATGTTTTTGAACAGTATTAACAAGAAAATATTTATAACTTACTATTAAATGAAATAAAAGTATATAGGTACCAGATTCCCAATTTTATTTTGTATATATTAACATATACATACCTATAACATAGGCATACACACAAAATATATTTATAAGTACAAATATGTACAAACACATAAAACATCTAATACATCTATAAAGCATATTAGGATGTAAAAATATGGCTCACTTTGTTTTCTTTGTTGTATTTTTTCTTAATTTTCTAAATCTTCTAAGACACGCATAAATAAATTATGCTTATAATCAAAAAGATAATGTTATTTTAATTTTTTTTTTTTGAGATACAGTCTCATTTTGTTGCCCGCAGTAGAGTGCTATAGCATCATAGCTCATGGCAACCTCAAACTCTTGGGCTCAAGTGATTCTCTTGCCTCAGCCTTCTGAGTAGCTGGGACTACAGGTGCCCACTACAATGCCTGGCTAGTTTTAGAGATGGAGTCTTGCTCCTGCTTGGGCTGGTCTCGAACTCCTGAGCTCAATTAATCCACCAGCCTTGGCCTCCCAGAATGCTAGGATTACAGGTGTGAGCCGCCATGCCCAATAACATTTTAAAAAAGAATTAAGAGAGTAATAACTAAAAATATTTTATTTCAGCATTCAATGAATATTCATTATGTGCCAGCCAGACACCATATTAAATATGTGAGACCCATGCCAGGCACCACAGTTCAAGCCTATAATCCTAACACTTTGGGAGGCTAAGATGGCAGGATCACTTGCAGCCAGGAGTTCAAGACCAGCCTGAGCAACATAGCGAGACTCTCTCTATAAACAAATAGAAAAATTGGCCAGGCATGGTGGCTCACACCTGTAATCCTAACACTCTGGGAGGCTGAAGTGGGTGGATTGCTTGAGCTCACAAGTTTGAGACCAGCCTGAGCAAAAGCGAGACCCTGTGTCTACTAAAAATAGAAAAACTGAGGCAAGAGGATCGTTTGAGCCCAAGAGTAGTTGGGTGATGGCTTGAGATTATGGGGCTTGACTGCCCCCTAATTTCTCACAAATTAGGATGATGCTGTTGCACTCTAGCCCAGGTGACAAAAAAAAAAAAAAA